CTAGATACGACGACCTTCTGGCATCGAGTGCTTTTAGTAATTTTTCACCCCCCCACGATGCACAGTATTATCCTGGCCGCTCTTACGCCGATATGGCCAGCACCACTCCCGCCAACAAACCAAAACAAATATATCCCCTCTCACCTCAAGACTCCACCCCATTGAGGTACCCAACGGGTCCTCTCCCACGCGGCCATCCTCGCTCTGGCAACAGCAACAACAGTACGCTTAGTCATTGCCCTCCGGACGCTTATTCAAGGTTACGGGAATCCCATAACGCCTTGCTTTACTCGCCTAATGGTCGACTGCCCAACTATACTAACTCTCCCTCCCCCTCCCCCCTTCTACCCCCTTTCACCCCTCCCACCCACCCTTCTCCTCCCTCCACTTCCTCCCCCTCCTCCTCCTCCAATCCTCCCTCTTTCCCCTCCATTCCCTCTTCCTCCGCCTCTGTTCCTCTCCCTCATCATCTTTCCCCCCCGCCGCCCCTCCTCTCTTCTAATCCACAACAATACGGTTTCTCATACATAATCCAGTTAATTCTCTCTTTGCTTCTTCAGCTGCTTAATAACAACCCTGATACACCTCTCAATCCAAATCTTAGTACGGGACTCTCCAACGTTCTCAACGCTCTCCAATCACTTTCTAACTCACAATGAACCATTTAGAAGCACTTAGAATTCTCTATTGGAATTGTCGGGGTGCACTTGGTAAGAAGGCCGAAATAGAGAAGCTATCTGAATCATTTGATATTCTTTTTCTCGCTGAAACCTGTGCAGGGGTCCTTCCCATGACTTTCGAGTAAGGGGCTTCGACTGCCTTCGCATTAGTGCGGACGCTGATGGCGTCAGAGGTATGTTCGCTCTCATTCGTAATCCCATCATCTATTCCCCACTCGATCTCTCTTCAATCACAGACAATTCCATAGAAGCCTTGGGTATTAAGCTGTCGTTCGACAACTCTCACTTGCATCTTATAAGTGCTTACCGACATCCCAACGTTCCCGCTTCTGCTAACTCTCTCTCCTTACTCACCGCCTTTGCCCACGACCATGACCCTACCGTCCTCCTTGGAGACTTTAATGCTCACCATCCCATGTGGGATGGCTCACACACCAACGCCGCCGGTCGCATTCTCTCCAAGTATATCGACGATCACCACTTGGTGATCCTCAATCCCCCCACTTCCCCCACCTATATTTCTTTCTCTCCCCCACGCTCCTCTACTATTGACCTCGCCATTGCGTCTCCCCGCATCTCTTCACTCTGCGAAGCGCAGGTCCTCTCTGATCTCCGTGGGAGTGACCACTTCCCTATTGTGGTTCGCATTAATTGCGTGGTTCATACTTCTTCCATTTTTTCTCATAAAATTACTCTCACTAAAGCTCAATGGATTGAAGTCAGGGGATACCTTTGCGATAACTTCAAAACTATTCTTCAAACCATCAACTCCATCCAAGACCCTATCACCCAATACAACACCTTCCAGGAGCTCATCGCCGTCAGCTATGAACAATTTTTACCACCGAGGCCTGCCTCCACCTCTCTTACAACTCGCTCACTCTTCACTCATAAAGGCCCTCCACCGGCACCTTGGTGGACGCCAGAGTGCTCTGAGGCGACCAAAAAACGAGGGATTGCTCTCAGAACCTTTCTACGAAATCCTTCTCAGGATAACTATGTCTACTACCGATCAGTTGTATGTCAAACCCGCAAGATCCTACGCAGGGCTAAGCGAAATAGCTGGAAAACGTTTTGCGGCTCCCTCGATTTTAAAACTCCCACCGCGGATATCTGGCGCATGCTGAAACGCTTTCGAAACCGTCGTCTACTTCCGGCTAACTCTAACGCCCTTAATAAAAACTCAGACAACTCTGCTCCAATACAGGATGCCATTCGTAAACTTTGCCCTCCTTCCTGTCTCCCTCCCCCTCCCGAGATCCCTCAGCACTATCAAGGTGACCTCGGCTGGTTGGACTCCCCCTTCTCTCCTGATGAACTCCCCCTTGCCCTTCAATCCGTTAAATCTTCCTCTAGCCCCGGCTTGGATAGAATCGACTACCGCCTACTCAAAGCCCTTCCCCTGGAATTGCTTACATGCCTTCTTTCCATTTTCAACAATCTCTTTCGGTGCTCCATTTTCCCAACCCAGTGGTCCCACTCTCTCATTCACCTGATTCCCAAACCCAATAACAATGGCGTCCGACCTATCTCCCTCACATCTTGTATGCTTAAGATAATGGAAAAAATGATACTAAACCGTCTTTATTAGCTTATTGAATCCCCACTCTCCGATCTGCTACCTGATAACCAATTCGGATTTCGTAAATTTAGGTCCTGTCAAGATAATCTTACTGCTCTCGTTGCCAGTATCCACACTGGTTTCCTGGCCAAGCAGGACACCGTGGCCTTATTTATCGATATCAAATCTGCTTTCGACAATGTTCTCCCTCACATCCTCTTACAGGACCTCTTACGTCTAGACTTTCCCCCCCTTATACTCGCCTTTATTTCCAATCTCATCTCTCAACGTACCATCCAATTCGTGAATCAAGGTACGATCTCGGATCCAAGAACTTCCTATAAGGGCACCCCCCAAGGATCCGTCCTTAGCCCTACCCTCTTCAATCTTTACTTACGAACGGTCAATGATGTGCTGCATCCCTCCACTCAACTTCTACAGTTCGCTGATGACATTGTCATCTTCTCATCAAACAAAGACACACCAGCAGCCATTCACTCAGTAGAACAATCCCTTCACGCCCTCTGCACATTCCTGGGTGACCGCGGTCTTGAGATCTCAGTGCCTAAAACGCAACTAATGATTTTCTCTCTAAAGAGACCCTCTGTCCCGCCGAACTATAACATCTCATACCTTGAACATCGCATCCTCCCCTCCTCCTCCGTTCGCTTCCTAGGAGTTTTCCTAGACCCCAAACTCTCTGGCAAAAATCACATGTCCTTCATTATCAATAAAGGTAAGAAAATACTCCAAATTATCTCTGCTCTTAGGGGCACCTGGTGGGGAGCTCACCCTCATATGCTTATCTCCATCTACAGATCTATGCTGCGCGCTTCCATCGAATACTCTGCCCACATCTTCGGGCTTATAAATAACGATAAATCACGCGCCCTCCAAGTGCTCCAAAATCAAGCCCTCCGCCTATGCTTCGGCTACCGCATTTCTACTCCCCTCAACGTGATATACGCGGAGACTGTTGAACTTTCTCTCCCTTTCCGATTCCGTCTTCTCACCTCCCGTTACTTTATGAAAATCAGTTCGGTGCGTGATCATCCAGCAGTTCTTAAGCTCCATGAACTATGTGACTTGGCTATGCGCAAGAATAGAATGGACTATTTACGTGCCCATTTTCCAGCCGCACTTACTTTTCGTCACATCTGGACTTTCCATCAGGACATAGACTGCTCCTTCACCCTTCCTAACTTCCGGCACTCTTTCCACTCCACTATTACTTCTTCTTCTTATACTTCTCTATCAGTACCCTCTCTCGAATCCTTGAAACTTTTTCCTAATTTATGCGCACAAGCTTTATTCGACCACGAATTCTCTCATCTCACAGCTGAATCCACCGTATTCTACACCGACGGCTCCAAAGTCGATCATGGGACGTACGTCGGGGCGGCTGTTTTCTCCCCGCAGTTGCGCGCCGAACTTATGTACAGACTCTCTTCGTACACCTCCGTCTTCTCGGCGGAAGCTTACGCTATATACAACGCAGTTACACTATCTATAGATTTGCACCTGCGCAAAGTTTCTATCGTCACCGACTCCAAAAGCGTACTTGATTCTATTAGCGGATCCATCAACCGTACTAATAACTATCTCATCCCTCTTATTAAGGCCGGATTGGAGGAGGCTGAGGCCAATGGCACGCGAATACAATTCATATGGGTCCCCTCTCATAAAGGTATCACTGGTAACGAAAAAGCCGACCAACTAGCTAAAAGAGCTATCAGACAGGGCATTGAACCGAATTTCAAGGTGCCATACTCGGACATGTGCGCAGTCATTAAACAACGGATTTCTGATAACTTCTATCGTTACCTTGAATCTATGGCAGAAACTAATAGCGTTTTCGGCCCGACCGGGTTTGCACCAACCTGGGTTGGATTAATGGCGTTTTGCGCTCTCCTATTGGTAGAGCGTGTGACATCAACCAATAGGAAAGATTAATCCAGCCCAGGTTGGTGCAAACCCGATCGGGCCGAAAACGCTATAA